GTCAACTCAAACTTTTTTACAGTGGCTCATTGTAGGTGATTTTCTTTTAGCTTCTACTGTTTTGGTCAACAAAAACTAATTCTGTTTTTTTTTTTCCTGACAAGTCTAAAACACCTGTAAAACACCTTTGTTTACACCAAAATATCTATCACCACACAGCTCATTCAGCAAAGAGTTTCATAAGAGTATAAATACAGTGGAGGGGAAGTACACTTTACGTCATTGCAAATGTGAGAACATACCTACAAGTTCAGTTATCCATCATGAAAACAGCAACAATGAAGCCTCGGACGCACACAGCTATAAAACTAGTAAGTCCAGGGCAAAGACCATCCAGAGCCACATATTTGAGTCCTGTACCATTGTGCAAAATAAATAACATGTAGACCATTTAAAGATTTGTCATTTTTAATTTCTTCTTATCCCTCTAAGCAACACTACCAGATAAATACATCCAACATTTTAGCTTCACTGTTCAAGCAATTTCATAAATAAACCAAAATTCAATGTCACCCTTTGTTTGACCAAGATCGTGTCAATGGCCCACACCAAAGGCTGTGTTACCAGGGCATCTGTTTTGGGCAACATTGCAGCCTTTTTCAAAAAACAGCAAATTACAAGTTACATATCGATGTTTTCCATTCTTATTACAGTAGTGTATATATTTTTATTCTATTTCTTAATGTAAAAACATTTTTTAAAGCTTTCATCACCTGGAATTCTTTGATGTACATGTGCATTTGATCATTGTTATGTATACTTGCACAATATAAGTGATTATTGTTTTGGTGTAATTTCAATAATAAAATATTTTAGTAAAATTATAAAAAAAGTTGTGCAAATAAATTTAGTTTAAATGTTTATCTTTTGAGCTTACAATTAATGTTGCTTTTTTCCCAGCACTGCAGACCACAATGATTTGAGTTATGTCACTTCCTGACTTTTAAAGGCACACTCCGATCAAGATTGTGAAATGGGCAGAGGATGAGTGCAAAAAAACACGCCAACTTTCAGTGGGCCGGATGGTCAAAAATACTATTTTTCCATGGTTATGTAGGAGAATATGTGACATATGGCGTTATGACGGAATTGGCTCCGGTCAACTCAACCAAACTCCTGTTCCCAAAGCAAAATTGGTCATGGATAAAGTACCTCATTACTATCGTCATTTACTCAGTAAGTACCAGCGAAACACTGACTGGAAGTGCCATCATAAGAATTTTAATGTTGACTTTTGTATCCAGCATCTCCAAACAGTGCAAAGAATGTTAAAATTTACAAGCATTTAGCTGTGGCTACAAATCTCGAAAACAGCATCAGTTATAAACAACCATACAGTGGATTTACAAGTACGACGGTATACAGGAGAGAACTCACACAATGTCGAAATTCACTTCGTCAAATCACTTCACATGCTAGACGTCCTTGGGATGGCCAACATTTGAGGAAGAGGTAAGACTAATTCATTGACCTAACACTTTCAAATCCAAGTAACACATTCAAGATGTGTTTTGTTCAGTCAGCTTAAGACCAAACGAGTTAGTTAAATTCCTTTTAAGTGATTCCTGGGACACACACAGCTCGAAAACCACAGGCCCAGGGCCAACAATTATGAGTCCCAGAGCAACACACGATCCTTTGTGTCACAAAAATTACCCATAGACAATTCAGAGATTTGTCATTTTCATTTTCGAAGCAGTTACCACATAAATACTTCCAACAGTTTACTTTCACTGTTAAGGCAATTTGGCTACTAAACCAAAATTCTAAGTCACCATATTGTTTGAAGAAAATCATGTCAATGGCCCACATAAAAAAGTGGTTTCAGCAGGGCATCAGTCTGGGCGACAGCTGCACCCTCTTTCAAAAGAAGCATAATTTTAGTTTCCTGGTAATAATCACCAGCTATGAGGCAGAAGATGAGGCTGCTTAAGAGATGAATTAATGCCTATGGTACCATTTGTAGAGGTACATGTAACAATACTCTTATTGGAAATATTGTTAGAGTTTTCTTGCACTAGAGGCCAATTTTCCCTTACAATACTTGCAAATTAGAACCTGTATTTTAGGGTAAATGACAAATTAATAAGACTTCTTAATTTGTCATTTACCCTAAAATACAGGTTCTAATTTAGTGCTATGTTAGTAAAAAATATTCTTTGATGAATTATTCAAAAGAAGAATCAGCTTTGAAAGCCATGTCAACACTAACCTTTTTTACAGTGGCTCATTGTAGGTGATTTTTCTAGGGTGGTGCACTGCTTTGGTCAACAAGACTAATTGTGTTTTTGTTTCTCCTCATCAGTCAAAATTGACACTTTTTTCCATAATGCCACCTACGAAAACAGCTTTATCTAAAACACCTGACCAGAATGACAAGACTTTTAATGCACCATGCCACCTGTACAAGAAGTTCCCTGTTTAAAGTAATGTAAAGTGTGCTCAAAATTAATGTCTGTTCTGTTTGTTTCATTCATCAAACTTAATTGTTGTGCTTTGTAAGCTGGCTCTTTTATTTATGTTTTTGGTGTCTCAAACTATCATTGGTACAGTTGTGCTTATGAAAATTCAATGTCACCCTTTTGTTTGAAGAAATCACGAAATAGCCCAAACCAAAGATTGTGTGAGAAGTGCAACTGTTTGGGCAACATTGCAGCCCTTTTCAAAAAAAGCAAAATTTGCAGAAGGTTAAAGTTTACAGGAATTCAAATTGCCAGTGGGCTTGCACTTGTTTTTGATGTTTTGAAGATTATAATAGCGACTTCAGAAAGAAACTCTGCAGAATGTACACCTTCAGATTGCATCTTAGTAAAAGAGTCTTAGACTGACACATCTATAACTAACCATCTCATCCAGTAAAGACACAGTGGGGGAGAGGTACAAATTACATTGTTTCCAGGTGGCTACTTTCCCATGTGAGCTTTGCAACATTCCTCACTTGGCTCCTTTTAAACGCCATCGTGAGACGCAACTTTCTTAAATCTGCATACACAGTTGAACCTCCACGTGCGACCACCTCTCGTAAGCGACGGACAATCCAAAACTCCAAAATTTTCCCAGTCAAAGCCTTAGACCTGGAACCCCTAGTAAACAACCACTTCCTGTAACCGACTGTGACCACTATTTGGGCCTGATAGTTAAGGATTTTCCATTGTTTTTAACCTCTTGTAAGCGACCACTTGACGCATTTCTGATCTCTTTTTTTCACTATGTACACTGTTACTTAGAATATACGAAGAACTTTAGTGACGACATGGACCTACACATATTCTAACTTCGACATGGCATGCAATAAATTATCTTCCATAAAGTAGATGTGCCTGGATCTTTTCTCGGAAGAGACCCTCTGTGGTTTGATTCTTGTACACAACCACCTGCCGTAAGCGAACACTCAGTCTTTGCATTTTAGGTGGTCGCGTACAGGAGGTTGGACTGTAGTTAAACTGAATTTTTACAAGTTACATATGGACGTTTTAGACTCTTAATTGTATTAGTGTATATATTTTTGTATTTATTTTTTGTAAATAAATCTATTACGCTTTTATCACCTGGTATTCTTTGATGTACATGTGCATTTGCTCATTGTTATGGATACTTCCACATTAAACATGTTATCATTCACTACTATGGTAAATTTGACACAGGTAACTGCCACGTTTTTGGATTTGGTGTCACTTCACCCACCCTTTTGAGTATGACAAGTATCCAACAACTTGGTGCATTAGATCATATATTTGAATGTTATTTTGCACCTAATAAATACTAAATTATTATTAGTAAATAAACATCCAACCCTAAGAACACATACAGACAGTTGCAGATGTTAAAAAAATCAAGCGAAAATATCGAGAATAGATATTTTCTTGGTACATATGTATCCAATATGTTGACATTAAACAGTTCAAATCGATACATATCCTGTATAACACTAAGCCAGAAGTACAAAGTGACTCTGAAAGGTATGACATGTTAACGCAAGTTCAGCTTTCCGTTGAATGTATTTAATGATGGATGCAACAGGTACAGTACTTTGTTCCTAGACACAGCTAATATCCATTGATGAACGTTTAGTTGGTTTAAAAACTTCACCTGAACTTATCCAGTATGTACCCAATCAACATCACCACAAAAGGGATGCCCAGTTGTAAGAAGTGATTGATTCCGCTACAGGACAGAGTAATACATCTGTGTAATGTGGAAAGAACCATTCAGGTCCATCACCAAAATGTGGCCACTCTTTTGATGTCACGAAATACCTCATGACTAATGTAGGTATTTTAACAAAGCATGCTACCACTCTTGCAGAATTTCTGTACAAAAAACAGACCCTTGTGACAGGAACTCTGCTTGCAAACAAAAAAAGGGGTACCCATTCACCACAGGAATACCAGCAGGTACTGTTAACCACAAAAGAAGGGATGGAAGCACCAAATAGCTCCCTAAACCATGTACAACAAGCACATGGAAGGCGTGGACATACTGGATCATACAGGTTGACTCTTAGACAGGCAAAAGACCTTTCATTAAGTTTTGGAAACACTGGATGGCTTACTGCACTAATTTTATCTGCTATAACAACAACTGCCCTATCCCAATTTGAATTTATGTCAACTTTATTCTAAGAGATTTGATGCTCAATTACCTGCAGAAGTTCCAAATTAGCACAGGATTGTGATGCTTCCACGGAAGCAGTAAAAGGACTTTGTGAACAGTTCCTTGGGGATCAAAAGACAGCCAGTACCCATTGCGCAGGCTGCCAAGTAGGGGTGCATTTAAAATGCTTTGAATTAATTACTTGAACACAACACCAATAATAAGAAACGGATTATTGAAGTTTATTTTGAAGTTTCTGGCCTCATTAATTTGATAATGTGATATACAAATGTCAGTGACTACCAGTGCCTTGAGATATATTAATTTTTCACTCACGAAGTTTTCACTTGAGCGAGGGTAAACTGCCTTTCTTCTATCGAAGGTATGTTGATGATACGCTCACCATCATGCCGAATATAGAAGCAGCAGCTAACTTCCTGGACACACTTAACAAGGCACATTCCTCCGTAAAATTCACGATGGAAACCATATGCAATGGCATGCTCCCATTTCTGGGCATCCAGTTACTGAATCGATCACCTCAAATACAGAAAAAGGAGTACGTAAAACCCCTGAATTCAAGTCTGCTTTTACACTAGCAGAGTCATGTGGACAATTGGTACAACCCCAAACAGGCTTTGCTGAGAACAATGCTGGACTGAGCATATCATTTATCTTCTTGTTGCTCACATTTCTCAGACGAATGTAACTGATTGAAGACAGCATTCTCGCATTTGAAGTACCCCAAACACCTCGTCAACTCTACCATCAAAAGTTCAGTTGACTCATATGTTTGTGACCGGCAGCGACCTTTATCACCAGCTAAAGAGACAGAAGACACGGTTTGAGTGGTTTTACCATTTTAAGACCAAATCACCACAGATATTGTGAAAGAACAACTCAAGGAAACACCACCGTCCAGCCTGTCTTTGCCAGCCGGAAAGTTAAACATGAACTAAATAAATGAACAGTGTGTAGTTTATAACTTCCAATGTGACCTGTGTGATGCAGGCTATGTAGGTTACACACGCGGACATTTACACAATCATGTAAAAGGACATAAACAACGGCCCCCTGCCACTGGCAAACATTACAAGAACGGGCACAGGACAATCCCTCGGGACCTGCTGAAACGTTTCCAAGTGCTTAAAAAATGCAGGAACAAATTTGACTGTTTAGTGTACAAAATGCTTTTCATAAGAACCTTACATGTACAGCCAAATCTCAACATGCAATCAGACTCTATTCGTGCGAAAGTATTTTCATAATCTTCGCACCCTGTTATGTTAATTTTCCTGCTACATCGCTTGATTTGGGCGGTAAATTTAATTTTTTGCGGGAGAACACTGAAGTGGTGGACAAAGTTTGCGAGGTTGATGCGTCTCTTTGTGATCAATGTTGCTGAATGTAACTTGAAACCTTCCTTGGAACGTTTTAAAACATTTGGGATTTAGAAAATTGCTTGTGGCACACACAGTTTCTTATATTTTACCATAACAATAACTGTTATGGTAAAATATAAGACACTGTGTGTGCTAATTACAATTGTTGTGAGTTGAGAATGACACATCAAGAAAATCAGCATGGTCGGTTCGCAAGCGTTTTGCAGGTGCTTTGCACTTGGCAACTGTTTACATTTTGCCTTCCCTGCAAAAATCTCGTGTAAACAAGGTGTCTTTCACAGTGTTTGGGAAATAGAATTTTTGTTCATTCTCAGGATGGCCGTGAAGACGAAATTACCTAAAACTTTCAGGATTGACTGCTTTAAAGGAGAGCATTCCATTTTCCAAGGCTGTTTCATCGTTGCAGAAACCGGTATGTTAAAATCTCAGGCATATTTCTGATTTTGTGGATTAAAACGTAGAGCGTGACATTAGTACACTGGTTCAGAAATGTTCATTTTTCTCATAAATGGTTTTCTTTCACAAAGTGTGACAGTATTCAACTAAAATCCTTACATAATTTTGATGTATTAGGATATTAATCCTGCTCACACTGGTAATGGCAAACATATGACATGTTTTCAAAATCTGAATTTTGTGCACACAAATGTTGCGAAAGACGGTCATAAAAATGTATATTTTTGTAAAACATAATTTTCTAAAAAATTATATTTCAATAAATTTCTTTTTCTCTGGCAAATCTGTAGTTCTATTTACCTGTGTGCCACCAATGGACAGTCTTGTGACCATAAATGTCGGGAAGATATTACAATTTATTTTTCATATATCAGGGGGAGGGGGGGGAAGCTACTTCTCATACATTCTCTTCAATGAGATCCAAACAACGTTCTCACTACTTGCAAAGAAATCAGCAAAGGGTCTTGCCAGCAGATTTGTGTACTGATCACGCGCATTACATCAAAAACCATAGATCAACGGTCTTGAGAAGAAACAAAAACATGGTGGTCAAAGGCGGGACTGTTTTTCACTATAATATATTTTGGTAATTCGCAAATTTATTGATTGTTTGTCGCTCTTCAGACATGGTGTGGTTTTCTTTTTCTGTTAAACAATTTCCCTCTGCAGAGTTTGGAATATGCAACACATAGCTCCATATAGCTGCTAAGAACGGCCGAAGAGTTGAGCTAACGAGTAGTGTTTTGCTGCAAACCTTAGGAAAGTGAAAGTTGCTTCAAGGTACAGAGCTTTCAGTAAGAGTTGTGATTTGTTTATTAGGATCGTTTTGAATTTTAACTCTGGCTTCAAGATGTTGACTGATTGAAGTAAACGAAGTGAAATGTTATGAAGTGTTAATTTTTATTCAGTTATGATATGTAGAGCAGTAAGCTCATATTTATAAAGCTCTCTTGAATATACTTGCTTCCGATAAATTTGACACTTGCTGCCGTATTTTGTATCAGCACCAAGTTATCCTTGCCCGGCAAAAACGATGTAACCTATAAACAAATCCATCGAGTATTTTGTTGTTGGTTAAGATCTAACACGGTTGCGTTTTAGTTTCCCCCACATTTCGGTACTGAAAGACAAATACAATGTGCAAGAAAAACAAAGATGCATGGTATGACTTTTTTCAATTTTTTAAGCATGATTTCTGATTTCCTCTGCCGGTCCGCTTCTTGCTTCTAAAAATATTTACTGTGGGAAAAATACTGTAATTATCCGCTGACCACCACGCTGGGCGACCGCTTTGCAAGTTGTGAGAACATCATTTCTTGGTCCCAGACCTCATCTCTTCCCCCCCTCTGATCAGGGGTTCCATTAAGAATTGCAGTAGCCAGAGGATAGTGTACGGTAACAGGAGAATATTTTGAAAGAGCGAAGCCCTTTCCCAGAAAAAGCTTGAAAACGAGCCTGGAAATTTTGCGTTTTAAACGCTGCTGAGATGGCTTTTCCTATTGTCTGATAGCAAATGTTTTTTCTCGTAGCTGCTGAACAAAAAACACTGCATACCTCTACATGGTTTCAAAACATTTTTTCTTCAAATTAACAGGCATATTGTTAAATTATGATCGACTTCCAACCCTGTTACACACTCCTAGAGTTGTGACATGTGGCTCTATCTTATGAAATACTAAACATACCAAAGAGTGAAAATAAAATTATTCTCAATACGCTTTAACTTCAATTCAATATTTTAGGATGTTTTCAATAGTGAAATGACGAGACGTGAGAAACTTTTCCTGCCTCTGTCAGGGACACACGTGCTTGCGCTAGACGGAACACATTTAAACGAATTCGCTCTCAGCGCAAAGCTTTGCGTGTCCAGTTTAATAGACAATTTGTTGAATATCGATGAATATTTCTTCTTTGTTTATTCTGCAGTTATAATTTATAATGTACCATTTTAGAAGTCATCGTTAAAATAGAAAAACCTCACAAATTAAATTTGCATTTGCCTCTTATAGTAATTTGATACCCTGTCATTTATATACGGTAAACATCACCAAATTTATTTCCATAGCAGTTCACAAAGGAATCATTCTTTTTGTTCACAAAGGTACTTGATTCTTACTGCTTAAACTTTTCTTGTCATGACTTTGCCAACTTGTGATTCATTTATCATGCACTTTCTTTTGTTTCACGTTTTTGTTTCAGTATTTACTGGTTTAAAAATTTTGCACGTGCAAATAAAAAAGCGTTGAGCATACAGTCGACTCTCCACTGTTCAGCAAACCATCAAATATTTTACACATCTGTTGTTACTTTTGTTGGGCTTAAAACTGCTAGCATCTAAATAAGACCTTTTACGCGTCATTGTCATTTATTTGGGAATGTAAAGCAAGTGGCTAAGTGCTAAAATTACGCATTTCTGGGAATAATTTCTTTTTACAGTAATATAATGTATCCACGTCTGATTCGTCTGAATAAAAAATAGCCATACTCCATTGAAATTTAACCAGAGAATTATGCGTAGTAGAGGCAGGATTCTCTGATCTCCGATGCTTAATAAACCCCTGTATACACCAAGCATTGTTTGTACATGTGAACCATGCTACAGATCACACCGCAAAGTTGAGATTTCATTTTCAGTGCTTACATTATTGAGGAATTGCATACATCAGTTACCATGACAACAACTATTATACCATTTGTATAATTTTGAAAAATCATTTTTACTTACTTACACAGTGATTTTGTTACCTTTGCATCCTGCACCCATGACACATAAAAATTCCCAAAGATGCAAAATAATTCATGGCATGCGTCCTGTAGGTAAGACACAAAGATCGATCAATCAATCTGAACATGTGGATTTGAAATATCCATACCATCCCCACAGAAGGGATTTGCCATATGACCCACCCCCTCCCCGCTGGATTTTCCAAAATTGGCCCCCACATTTTAGCCCCCCCCCCTCCCCCCCCGCTTCCCTCCGAGATTTCCAAAATTTTCACACACCCCCTGGAAATACTGCTGTCTCTAATTGAAGTGGACAAAGAAGTAGTTTTGTTCACTAGGATGTCAAACTTTGTGAGTTTCATGTATTTTCTGTTAAATTATATAACAGATAAGCGAATTCCTTATGCGAACTCCTTGTACCCTCAAGTCGGCCAAATTGTGTGCATTTCATGTAATTTCTGTTGAATTCCACAATTCTACAAATGAAATGCAAGGTCGCGTAGGAAACATAACTGTACTTTTCTTGCACTGCGTCAAGAAGAAAGCAACACTTGAAGAAGTACTGTATAATTAAAGAGATCAGGACCTCATCGAGCGATAAGACAGTGTGAGTATCGAATTTCGTTCTACCAAATTTGCAGTAAAATTGCGCATCGCCGATTTCATTGATAAGAAAATTGTCACGCAAAGTTTAACGTGCTGCAAAAGACTTGTGATAGAGAAATAGTCAAGAGAAGAAGAAATGCAACCAATTAAAAATATACATTTTTCGTGTTTTATGTTCTCGACACGCAAGGAAAATGCAGTTCCGTTCCGCTGGCTCATAAACTACAAAAGTGTAAAAGATAAAAAAATATTATTTTCAGGAAACTTGTTGAAAAAAAAAAACTTAAGTGTTGAATAAAACGTATGTCAATACTCAATTGATAATATGAAAGCGCAGATGGCTACAAAGGAGCAGAGATCCATAACTATTCATATATGATGCATTTGTAAACAAACTTCGTAATGTACATGACCTGGAGAATGACAGATTGTTTGACATGAGTGGCTAGCGACGAAATGGTTTTGGGATGGAAACTTGGCTGAAATTTATCTTTGAACAGATAGCTTCAGTCGTTCAAACGGCTGAACGGATATCCCAAGCCCTTCAAACGGATAACTTTTTTTTCAAACCGATGACAACTTTTACTGAACAGATAGCCCAAGCCGTTCGAATGGATGACAATTTCTTTTGAACGGATACCAAACCCGTTCGAAAATGGCAAACCATAAGGAACATTTTCACGTGAGAGGTCACGCCAAGGGACTGACAAAATATGTTTGCTATGTCCCTTAATCCATAGGTTTGGTAGCTCTTTAACTTTCGTCGTGTTTTATATCT